TTTGCCACGTTTTTATTTTTAGCCTAATGTAGGCCAGGCACTATGCCAGGCACATGAGAGCACAAAGATAAATCTAATAGAAAGTTGGCAGTGTTGATAATATGGTAAAGGATGGAGGAATGTGAAAGCCCTGTAAGAACAGTTGCATAAATATTGCACAAATATTCTCAATACTGTAGGATTAGAGAGGAAGGAGCACCTATTACCAATCATAATGTTATCAGAGAGCAGCTCTCAAGGGAGTTAACCTTTGAGGTGGAAGCTGAAGAATGAATTGAACCTGGGGAGATGGAGAAGCAGCTATCTTGACCAAAGCATGAAAGCATAAAAGCTCACAGCTCCTTTATAACGTGGGGTGAGGTTTTGGGTAGTGACGATGAGTGTGAAAATAGGAGATATAAAAATACAGAAAGGAAGAAGTTTAAAATAGACTATGCAAGATCTTGTGTAGAGTATTAGAGAGTTCTCTCCCTGCAAAAAGAAGATATCTGAATTTTAGCTTTGTGATGGGAGATAAAATAAAGAACAGGGCTCAAATGTGAGGTTGATTAGAAGATTAAAAATATCCCAAGAAGAGAAACTCTCATTATGAGCTGAGGCAAACGAAGTAGAAATAGCAAATGATAGATAGATGGTGGAGTTCTAGATGAAGCACAATCAACAAATCTGTTAAATTAATTCAATATTGAAATAGAGAAGAGGGAAGTGTCAGGATTGCCATTTTAATGATTTGTAGATGATGTCATTAACTAAGGAGAAATATGTCAAGGGAAAACTATATTTGGCTATAAAGAAAAAATGAGTTCATTTAGAGACATGATGAAATGCACGAGGAACAACTGTAAATTGTCCAGTAAGGGAATATACTCAGCATCTCAAGTACCTACTCATGTCTGTGATTTCAGTCACCAGTGCTATGATTAAATGTATTTATCTGTCCAGAGACAATTGTCCTAGTGAGTTCAAAGCCATCTCACATATATTCCAGACTCACCAGAATGAAAACTAAATTCATCCCATCTCAGATTCTGTCCTCATCTTCTGTTCTTTGTGCTAGGAAATTGTATTGTTATGTAAACAGTTTCTGCATGTGATTGATCTATTCAGGAAATATTTACCAGTGAATGCCAGTCACTGTTGTAGGATGCTAGAAAGTAGGAGAGAACAAAGCCAAACCTTTGTTCTTGCTTGGAAAATATAAGTGATTATATATATATGAAATACCATGCAGATTCAGCGAGGAATTGAGATTGTTTTAGCTAGAGTGGGGAAGGGAATGCTCTCTCATGAGCTATAGTTTGAGTGGAGCTCTGGGTCTTCAGAAAGAGGTGAGCATGCAGGGTATGTGGTAAATGGCTGTCACGTTGCTGCTGTGATGTAAAACAGCATAAGTTTTGGTTTTTTCACCCCAGCTCTGGAAGTAAGAAGTTCAAGAGACTCTGACAAGGTTGGGCTCAAGGTGTGGCGAGAGTTGTATTCCTTCTGGAGACTCTGGGCAGAAGGGAGGGCTGTGGTGGTGTTTCTTTGTTTTCTCCAGTTTCTGGAAGTTTCCCACATTCCGTGGCTCAGGATCTCTTTCTGTGTTTTGGAGGCCGGCAGATAGTTCTTGAAACCTTTCTCCTCTGCTTCCTTATCACACCATCTTCTCTGATTTCTTTGTCTCTTCTCGGAGCTTTTGTGTTTATCATCTGAGAGATTATAAACCAACTCAAGATTCTTAATTACAGCACCAAATACCCTTAGTTCTGTTAGGTAGCAGATTCACAGGTATGGGGAATTAGGAGTGGGAATCTCTGTGGAAATTCTTTTGCCTACCACAAGGAGGGAAAATAAATGAAAAGCTTCAAAGTAAGAGCTTGAATTTGGGCTCATGCCTCAAACCTGAGATCTTATATCAAACCAATTAACAAATCTTGTCAAGAGAAACTTTTTATTTCTGTTTGTCACCAATTCACTGCCCACACCTTTGATGAAAATATAACAGGCTTTTTGATTGACTACTTCAGTCAGCTTTCAAGTAATGTTCTCAATCTACTCTTGATTTTATGTTCTAGTATCTTCAGAGAAGTAAGGATCTTTGAAGAGGTAAGTTGAATTATGTGAACTCCAATTAAAGTCGTCATGTTAATTGTTCATCTGTAGCCAGCTTTCTTTGCATGTTCTCTTTAAAAGCTATTCAGACTAACAGGGACAAAACCTGCCACGTGAATAGCAGCAGAGCTGAGGAGCTGTTCAAGCTGCTGCAGCCTCCGAGTGTGGAAGGAGCCCAGCTGAAAGGCTTCACACAGAAGGGAAGATTGGAGCATAGTCAAAGGGACTCCAGTGGAAGCCCAGCAGGAAATGTCCACCAACCGAGCTCAGCCCTGGGGAAAAAGGATGGATATTAGAACTGCGTGGGCCAAGTGGCTGTTCAGGCAAGTGAAACTCCTAGAGGGGAAGGGGGAGGCATCCTTATCAATATGTAGTGGAAGGGAAGGGAGAAACACAGGAGACAATCAGAGACTGCAGAGAGGTCTAGGAACGACAACTCACTCCCAACCCCTGACCTAAGAAAGAGGCTGCACTTCCCCCCACAAGCAAAAGCTACACATTTGTCCAAGCTCTTCTGGCCACACAATGAATTGGGACAATGTCCATAGTTATTATAAGAAGGGAAAATAAAAATTAACTTTAGCTATTGTAAAATTTCCACAGTAAATCAATTGCCCAGCAGCAGTAAACTGAGCTCTCAAATGACTTACATAGCCTCAAACCAGCATTTCATTAAATATGACAAAGAGAATAAATAACCAGTAGGAGGAAACAACTCTTTCTTTGGATGAATGCATATTGAATGATGCATTTAGAAAATTGCAGCTTTGTGCCTAGCATGGTTACATAACTCAGGCAAGACTTTGCAACAAGTGCCAGAATGAAAAGGTGGTATTTTAAATAACGTATTTGCACAAAATCAAGGTCTTGTTGCATAAAGAAAGAAAAACACATCGTGATTGAGAAATGTAGTGGGTACCACTTTTCCTCAGCAATCAAAGTTCTTGTCCGTAATGGTTACACTGACGTTATATGTAGCCTGATAAGAAGCAATGAGAAGAATGCATTACATACTCAATGTTTCAGTTTCAAATGACCACCTCACTCTGGTCATGAGGAAAAATTAAACTCAAATTCAAGTGGAATCCTTTAAATATATCAACGTGGGCCAAACTGAATGAATTATGTTACATTAAGTAAGATGAAGAGGACATGGTAATTAAATATATTATATGTAGTGGGTTAATGTCTTAAACATAAAAATAAGTCTACAGTGCTCACTGGTGAATGTCAGGTGACTAGCGAGAGCCTTAGCAGCTTAGTGGCTACTGTCACCTAACATGTCCCTGCTGCTGCTGGGAGGTAGCCTTCCCTCATTTCCCTGGATTTGGTGTGCAAGAAGACAATGAATCCAGCTGGATTCGGGTAGTTTAGTGTGGGCACAGCATGGACAAGTTACTCGCAGTGGCAGCTCTGCAAGTGTGTTATCTCACATAGTGACAACAGCATGGGAACCATGCAACAGCTGGTTGGGTAGTGGGTTGCTTAGTTGTAGAGGACTTATATTGTAAACCTACTGTGTGATCCCAGCACTTGGGACAACTGTACCTTACGGGACAAAGAGCCTTTGGGACAATCGGAATAACTGATGCGACTCTTACTGAAATGGTTCAGGAAACAAATGATAAATATGAAAAAATGTGAATAATCATTAATATCTGAATGCAGAATACCACTTTTTAGTTTGACTTCATTGCTGAATAAAACATTTCCTTGAAAAGTACTCAGTGACTTCTTCCTTGTTCTTCCCACATGAGCCTCAACATGACCAGTATCAGCACGCTGGACTGGTGACCTTTTCAGCAGTATCTGCCTCCTTGCTTCCTGTCCCTGCAGCGCCCAGCTATCGTGTCACAGCTCAGAGTCTCCAGGCTGATCACCCTGCCTGGTACACTCTTTGCCCTTTCTGTTTGACAGTCATGAGACCACAGAAAGTTGAAACAGAAAAGAATCCAATAAAACTGTTTCAACCATTAATGCTCTGTACAAGACAAAAATTAATAATATATCAAAAGACAAAATATAATTTTAAGTGCATTTTAAAACAATTAAATTCCTGACCTAGAAATAAATAACTGTAGGAGGCACATGTTCTTCCAGTTAAAGTAAGCATTTTTCTATATAAGATGAATGTTGTAAAGGTTTATTTTAATAATAAGAAGAGAGAACTGACTTTAGGTGAATGTTAAGGCTATTTCTATTGGCACTGGAGAAGGCCCAATTCACACTTAGGCAAAATAAAGTGATTTCTCCTTTGAATGCCTTCTCAGCAATGCCCCGTTGGTAAATCTACCTGGAAGAACAGTGTCCCACAAGTTTATGTTACACACATCAGTGCATAAGGTAACCTTATATCACATACAACATTGCAGCCCAAGGTACATTACATTACCTATATAGATCAACTTACACAGATTACATTACATGCTGCATAATGTATGACTGCATATGGCATTAGCTTATCCAAGGTCATACAAGGGTTTTGCTCACTTGCAAGGTCAAGGTCCTGTTTCAGTGCTCTGCTGAGCCTCTATCACATTTCAACGTGGACCACCCAGGTTTATTGCTTGTTCATCCTTAATTACAGAATGAATCCTAACTGACTAAAAGTATTCCACCTAGGACATTGCTTTCTCCTATGTCCAATGCCCTACTTACTGTGAAGGGAGAAAAATTATATTACAAGAAAGATATGTCTATGCATAATTACTAGATCAGAAGATAGCTGCAAACCCTCTATGTGTGTGTGTGTCTTTTCCTCTCTCCTTCTCTCTCTATTTCTGAAGCAGCTTTTTAAAAATCATCTTTCTCCCTTAATTTTATCCTGAGTGTGCATTTGAGGTGTTATAATCAGAAAGATTCCTTATTAATTTTCTCACAGGAAAAATGTGTCCCCTCACCCTGCTCCATGCCATTAGAGCTGATGGGAAGCCTTCAAACATGAGAGATTACGTGCTTCCATGGATTAACAATGGAGTGTTGCATGACTATCTCCTTCCTGCTCAAGGAAGAAGAATTTCTCTTTTGGTAAGAGGTAGAAAGAATCACTGAGAATTTCACTCTAAACTTTAGAATGTTAACTGTCTTTCTTGGCCATCACTAGCTTTTATGACGCAAAGAGGTCTGTAGAGTTGGGCTTCATACCTCCTAAAGGGCAAATGATTATGGAAATAGTCTTTCTTTTATGGCTACCTTGGTTGCTTGAACTGGGGACTTGCTCCAGTGTGTAGAAAAGGCTTTACACTCTCTTTCTTCTCCAAAGCTTTCTGAACAGTTAGCTAAGCAGTGGCTACAGACTGGACTCTCATGATACGACTGAAAAATTGAAGTTTTATTTTTCCACAGACATGATAAAAAATTAAAAAGGAGATGTAATGAAAGAGCTAATCCATGTAGATAGTCTTCATGGAAAAATATCTTTTTAGCTCAGGATTGGATGGTGAAATATAATTTTCAAGCATGCAAATAGGAGATGCTGCTGATGCCTTATGATTTATTAATAATAAAAAATGTAAATATGATAGCGGTATTGTTAATAATTTTTGATGTTAGAGATGATGCTGTTTCCAAATTTTTTTAAATTATTGTATACCTGATTAAACTTTGCAAAAATATATACCTTCTCTCTCTTTCAGTATATAAAAGAAACAATATTTAAATGGAATATAATTGATTTTGACTTGTTTAAACAAGGAGGTAAAATATGTAAATTTGATTCATCTATGATATCTTTGTTAGCGCATCAGAGTGAATTTTGTCCCTTATTTTTACCTTTATATTAAGTAGATAGAGAAAACTATCTTCTAGTTAATTATGTACCCCTTCTCCTTTTCTGTTCCTTTGGCTTACAGAACAATAAGACTATTATTCTGGGTTTACTGTTGTAAAATATTTTGGATGACAATATACAAAAAGGAGAAAAGACAAAAAAGGGTTATTTGTACAAAATGGAAGTCTAGAGAAATGAGTTAAAATATGTCTATGCATTTAAGAACTTTCTTATGACTAAATGATTGGATGCTACAATGTATAATTACTGTAAGTTTGAGAAAGTCTAAAGAACAAAATGCACAGTTAGTTGTAGAAATAGAGGTTAAATGCAATTCAAAATTGAGCATATTTTGGAAAATTAAGTATTTATAGTCCTACAAATGATTACTAGTATACTATGAGAGACATATTAAATAGAATATTTTGAATATTCAGTTAGAAATTAGAAGTTAAAACAAGTAGATATAACTAAAGTTCCAGTCATATTTGCGCTTTTTGTTCTGAATTATGCTTGAATATTTAGGTAAAGCCTTTAAAAAGTTAGTAGATATTGATCAAACAGTTTTGGGGGTACCTTAGATCAGAATACATTCTGGATCTCACCACAATTCAAATATTTTGGAGTAGGGATATAGCTAAGCGGTATAGTACTTGTCTAGAATGTTCAAGGCTATCATCTGTAGCACTAAAAGTAATTCAAGTATTTTGTCAAAAAATACTCTTTAGAAAATGAAAATTACACTGTATTTCACATATTGTGTAATAACAGTGCTGTATATCTTTAAACAAGCCATCTTTCACCAGTTAGCTGAAAAGAATTGAAATGTGATCTTTAATTAACCCTTTGTTATAAGGTGTTTTGTGTAAATGGAAAACCTGATGTGTAGATGTTAAAAACATTCAGAATTTATGGAGAAGTGAGCAAAACCAGAAGGAAAGACCAAAGGTTCTGAAAGTCCATCTTCAGTTCCCTGTAAACCTCTATTGACCTTACAGTAATTACTCTTTCCCCCGTTAACTGACAAAATAGCACTCTTCCTCTGTAGTCTGTTTGGACAACCTGTATAATGATATGGTACAGTGATTCCATTTTCTCATTGTGATGCATGCTTTTAAAAACCCATTGCTCACAGAGAGATTTAAACTGTTTGCTAAAATCTTTCCCAAAGATGATTTGGTTTTAAACTACATTAATGCTGAAGTAAAACATATCCCATGTCCAGGGAAGTCATTCTGTGATGAAGCTTAAGAGTGCTTGCTAAGGTAATTGAGTCAAATGGTGGTTTTTATCCCCAAGTGAAATTACTTCCACTGCACAGAGAATAAGGCATCAGAAAATTTATCTGACACTCCTGGTAGCTCAGCAGTGACACTGATATTGAGTGACACATTTGCCATAAGGGAAGGATCATTTCTCCTTAGAACACTCCGTATTTGTTAATTAAATGATAATTTAAGGATGCATCGACTTTATGAATATAAAGTACTAGCCCAGTAGAGGTTCATATTTACCTGCCATCCTTTTTTAGGAAAGATTTTCACGGGCTCAGTGAGCCCATTGCATGCTGCCAATTGACATATTTAGGGATTGCTTTATCCAGCATTTAACACTGTGCTTAAGTAACTGTGTTAGATTCATGGTAAAACACAGTAAATACAACAGCTTTCATCCTTACTTGTGGAGGATGAAAACTCATTGTTTTCTCTTCACTAGACACACTTTTCCTGCGGAATTCTGCGCACTCAAACTCCTAGGTGATGGGCCACAGTAATTACTCATACTTCTCTTAGCACTCTATTGACAGTTCCTGACATGTTTTATGCTTAAATTTGACCATCATTGATTTCTGTTTCTGGTTTGGCACTATTATTCAAACTCAGTGAGATTTCTAAATAACAGCACAGAATCCCCGAATTATTCTCTGAAATATAAGCTCCATGAGGATGGAGAGCTTTGTTTATTTTATCCACCATATATCCTAATGGTTCATATAGTACCTGGTACATAGTAGGTGCTAATAATTACATTTAGATTGACTAAATTAACAGCATAGATGAGTAAAAGAAAATATATATATACTTACAATAATATGACCATTGAAATAATATACAATGGACAAATGATAAACAGTGTGACATACAGAATATACTTCATAAGCCTACTAAAAACTGGGAAATATCTTGTTTCTCATTTTAATTGATACTTGTCTTGCTTTATGCCATCTAGTTTCTTATGTTGGGAACATTCTCACAGGAAAGTCTCATTTTTAATAGTCTCATTGTTTATGTCAGTGGCCCCCAAATCTGATGCAATTATGGATGACCAAATCTAGGGTTTATGATTGGCTCGCTGTCTAGAGCTTGGATTGGTGGTTTCAGTGCTACATCCACCTAGGGGTGGAGCCAGCATATAGTGTAATGATGGGAAGAAGTTGTCTCTTTTCCAGGTTTCTGTCTTGCGGTTTGAGTATGGACTGAAACCTCCAAGAACTGAAAAAATAAATCTTTTTATCCCTAACTTTGGGCGTCAGGTATTTTGTCTCAACAATGAGAAAAAAGTAAATAAATCCGATACATACACATATAACACACCAACACAGAATTGTCAAGCTAGTGGCTGTTTTTATGTGAAACAATATATTAGAGCAAATAAATGCTGAAACTGTCAAAAAGAATTTTATACAAGGCAAAAGTATATGCATTAAAATTTATAAATGACTTTAAAAGTCTAACTTTGTAATTAAATTTCTAATTTATCATTTTCAATAATTTGATCATTTGTACAGTGACTTTATAGTTCTTCTGGAGCTACTATTAAATACATTATATTCTTATTCAATATTATGAAATACATATATCTTCAACAGAGATACATTTTTCTAATTCATACAAAATATTGACTGGGTCACTGCCTAGTTCTTCGAATGTTTCTCACTAAAAATAATACTTGCTGTAGGATTTAAACAATACTGTTTATGTGGTTAATGGCATTTTCTTCTATGGGTATTTTGATAATTTAAGAAATAGTGAAATATCGTTGTCCCTAAGATTATATCAAACTCATCTGCAAAATCCATCTAACTTCTGATGTTTTCTTTGGGATAAGATTTTAAAAAATAGTCTCAATAAGTTTTTAGTTCTAAACTACACATTTTTATGACCAGTATTTACATTTTGTAATTCTCTAGGAATTTGCTTATTTTATTTAAGTTTTTTAGATAGATGGATATTGAGATGGTCAAAATTTCTTCTTGCCTCTCTATTTTATGACATGAACTGAAAGAAAATTAACTTACAACGGACTCCACATATTTCAAGTAAACAGCTCATAAATTTTGACATATATTTACTTCTGTGATACTCATTACCACAATCAAAGTAACAAATATTAGCCCTAGCTTCCCAAAGATGTGTGTCTCCAGGAGACTAACTTATCAATTTGGGGGGAAAGTCTTGCTATTTTGACTGGCATTTCCTCATGCTTACAAACCAAACTGGGAGAATGGTGCCTTAATGATACTGAGTTTCCTAACCCTTGGGCATCATGACAGCTTTCTATTCATCTAAATCTGTCTTTGTCAGCTCTCTTTGTAGTTCTCAGTGTAAAACTTTTGAAAATATTTCATTAGATTTATGCCTAAGTTATATTTTGTGATGTCACTGTGATATATTTTAAAAATCTGATTTCCCAGTTTTTTGAGTACTAAAGTATAAGAAAACAACTAATTTTTGCTAAATTTACATTTTAGTACTTGTAGCAGTTTTGCAGTTTCTCTGCCATTTTCATTACAACTATATTATGTCAAATAGCAATGGTTTTATTTCTTTTTTCTTATTTTTGTTTTTTAAATTGCCTTACAACATAAACCAGAACCTTCAGCACTATGTTAAATAGAGGTTGCAAATATGAATATCTTTCCTTGTTCCCCATTTTAGTTTATGATTACATGTGATGTTATCTATCAGCTGTCATTTTGAGGTAGATTTGTGCTGTTCCTAATTTGCTGAGTGGTCCTTTCCTTTCATCATGAATGCTTTTTGAATTCATCTATTGAAAAATCTTTGTGTATTTTTCCTTCCTTCTATCAGTATGGTAACTGTGTTTGTAGCTTTTTGAATACTTCATCAACTTTACATTCTCTAGTATATTCAACGTAGTCATGTTCCGATTTACTAGGTGGAATACTGAGTCTGCCTCATAATACTTTAAAAGGTTTTCTGCATCTATATTTATGAGCAATATTTGTGTCAATTTTTGATAATGTCTTTGGCATTGGTATTAAAATATTTTTCTTTAATCTTTCTTAAACACAACAAATGTTTGTGTCATTCTGTTATTTCAATGTTTGATAGGATTAATGACTAAAACCTACGTGGATCTGAAGTTTTCTTTCAGATTATTTTGTCCATCTATCTTGGTAAATGTATTACAGGAACTGGAGAAAATGTACATTCTTCAGGTGTTGGATGCAGTAATCCATAAACTCAGTTCTAGGTAGTTAATGACATTGTTCAGATTTAATCTTTGCTACTGTTTCATCTAGTTTTCTTGTTAATTGCTGAGAGCGATATTAATATTTTACTATATCTATAAAATTTCTATTTCTCTTCGGAACTCTTTCATCTTTTCCTTCTTATGTTTTGGAATTCTTAGGAACACACATTTATAATTATCACAAGTTTCTAATAATTACACCTTTTACAATTATTGTTTTTCTTTATTATTGGTATTGAACTTTGTATTGAAGTCTATTGCTTTTAATGTTACAACAGCTACTTTAGTTTTCTTACAGTTGCAGTTGTATATAAGTATGTTGTATGTGATACTATGTACTTTGAACTCATTTGCATATTATTTTAAATATGTCCCTTACAGGTAGTATGTAGTTGTTTTTTTTTAATATTTCCTCCTCATTTTTCCATTAAAGAGAGAAGTATTTAGACCAATAACATTTCATAAAAATGTCATAATGGTAGGTATATAATTTTGTTTCATTTATCTTTTCTGCTTTCTCTTTTTTCTTTTCTTCTTTGTACCATTTTCCTGCCTCCAACTTTTGTCCTTCTTAAGATTATTTTGCTATTTGGGATCATTTGTGATTCCATATAAACTTTAAGAACATGTTTTGATTGCTGTTAAAATTCCTTTAGAATTTTGATAGGGATTGCATTGAATGTACTTAATGAGTTCTTAATTTCAAATTTTATTCTTGTGTTGTAAGTTTTCCATTTAGTTCCTTTTTATGTGTTCTACTTTTATAGTTTTAATCCCCCCCCCTCTGTCTCTCTCTCTTTCTCCCTCTCTCTCTCTTTCTCTCTTTGTACCTGGAATTGAACTCATGACCTCATGCTTGCCAGGCAGGCACCATGCCACTGAGCCCCTATAATTCCTTTTTTCTTTCATGTTAACTATTTTACCTCATTTCAGGGTTCATATTTGTAATAGCTGCTTTAATTGCTTTTGTTAGATAATTTGACAATGTGCTCATTTTGGGATTATTTCTGTGAGAATGGCCTACCTTTGCCTCTTTTTATAGATGTTGAGTAATTTTGCATTTTACAGTATTTTTAATATTCCTTTGTGTAAGCTATGGGTTTATCTCCAGTCCTCTGGATAATGTTCATATTTTTGCTCTGGGGGGGCAAGGGACGCAAGTTTGTTCAGTGAGTCTTGTCTCTCATCTTGTGTGTGGTGTTAAAATCATGGGTAGACCGGGCTGGGGATTTAGTTTAGCAGCATAAGTGCCTACCATGCAACTATGTGGTCATGAGTTTGATCCCTGGTATCTAAATAAAGAAAGAAAGAAAGAAAGAAAGAAAATCTCTGGTTTGAGTGTATCCCATTCATGAATAGTTCAGGAAGTGGGTGGATATTTGTTTGAATTCATGTGTGCAGTTTACAAGGCATTCTCTTTTTAAACTGTGCTCTTTTTATCTACACTTTTTAATACCTCCCCTTCTGTCCTGTGCTCACAGGAGCTTTCCCTGACTCCACTAGCAAGAATGATAGTGGTTTCTTTTGAAGAAGAGCTGAGGGGCAGCTCCTCTCCAAGATCCTGTCCCGTTTTGGGTAAGTTCATTTAAGGAAAAAGCTCAATGAACTTATTCCCATATAGGTTGAGTCCTTTAATGCTGTTTCCCTTTTAAACTTTCTTTTGGTTTTCTGTAAGATATAAAGATGAAATCAGGAAGAGAAATGGGACACAGGAGGTTCATATCACTGCATGTCATCTTCCTTCTCATACATCACCCCTCCTGTGAACATTTGATAAATTGCTTCTCAGCCTGCAGTGGTTTTACCTGTATGGGCCTTGATGTTAAACAGAATTTGGGTTATCCATGACATCTTACCAAGTCACACTGAAGAACATCTGTTGATCTCAACAGCAGTTTTCTTTACCATACTTTTATTTTGATTTGGTTTTCATAGCAGTTGGTACGGATTAAAAACTGGTGGTCAACTTAACACCAGCTGAATCAAATGAGCATGGTGCTGAGCATAGGTGGCCCACCTGAGGAAAGTTGTCAGCATAAACAGAGACATGGAGAAGAAGAGCTAGGCATTCTGGGTTCTCCTAAATGTTACTGTTTTAAGCTGTTGGTTCTCCTGGAGGAGCTCATCATGACTAGCTTCCCCAGTGTGAGTTAGACCTACCAGCACAGCTCCTTCACCCCACTGGCATAGACTTTCTAGCTTCCACCACTGAACTTTGAGCCCTCTCAGCACAGATCCATAAAACAGACTGGCATGAATACTTGTTGTGGGCTCTAAACCTCCAGTTGAGCTTGTGTGAGCCACTGTCATAGGTCTTCATCTGGACTCATGCAGGACATTTCTGTGGGATTCAGGCCCTTGGCTGAATATTTTGGGTCTTTAGTGCTGTGGACAGATTTCCTACCTTTTTTATGTGTAACTTTGTGTGACCATCATAAAATAATATTATAAATTCTGTGTTCTGATTGTAAGTGTTCTCCTCACAACCCCTGACTCCAACAGCACTATAGATACTTTTTGGTATATATCAGTTATTCCTTCGATATAATAGACTTCTCAGAGTTTGTCAAATATTTTCCTAGTAAAATATAAAATTTTGAAGTCGGATGTGAGTCTGAGGTCTTCTGATTAATTCTTTTTCTATGACACTTTAAATTTCTTCTTTTTGAATTATTCTTAAAGAGCTAAATTATTCTTAAAGAGAATTATTCTTAATTCTCTGAATGATTAAAAATAAAGCTTTTCTCACCTACTTCAGCATTAAATACTGTTTCAAAAAATTGAATAAAATGCAAGTAGAAATTTTCACAGACATACATACTATGAAAAAATCTACTTAAAATTAGAGAAAATGATTGTATATATTTGCAATAGGCCAATTTTCGGATGGAATTTGAATGCAGAAATTAAAACCAATGAATAAATTATGATAATACTGTCTTTGGTTTCCTTAGGTCAAAGAAAGGGGGGAAAAAGAAAAATGAAGTTAAATGTTATAAAAAACTTTCCTATTTTAAAGCTGTAGAACTAAATATTAAAATTATTTGCATGAGATCTACCTCTCCTTGCCAGCCACTGCCATCAGAAGGCTTGCTTCATGTATGTAGCCAGCACTGGCAGGGAGACATAGCCAGTTAAGCCCTGTGAACCCATAGGTCACCACTGGAGACCCTTGTTTTCTTTGGGCAGCCAGCACTCACTGGGAGAATCACACAAACACACCCTTGCGTGCCTTCCTCTATTGGGTGAGTCCTGAAGTAGACACACAGGCTGAGAGAATAAATAGCCTCAGCACCACACACCTCTGGCCATCAAGGAAGCCCCAGTGTAGTTGTATGAATCTGGAGAAGATCACCCTATACCCTGCTACCTCCCTGGGACCCCAAGGATCTGGCACATCCCCTATACTGTGGAGGGGTAGCCAATGTGGGAAGTGCCTGGGACCTCACAACTGGTTTATTGGGAGGAACCCAGAAGAATGTCAAATGAAGGAGCAAAAGGCAACCTCAGACCTCCAGCCCACACTGAACAAGTCTGGGAGATACAGTCATGTAAGAAATGGAACTCAAAAACATGTGATCTCTGAAAGGATAGCAGCTGAAGTAAAGAAATGGCTTCATAAGTTTGTAAAAGCAGTCAAAGTAAAAATAATGTCTCAGGTAAAGGGAGAAATCACAAACATAATGGAAGAATTTCTCAGCATACCTAAAGAAGACATAGATAAAAAAGAAGAGCATAGGACAATGAAGAAAACCTTGAATGAACAATATAGGAAGGAACTACAATGCATGAAACAGATTCAAAGAGATATCCAGGAAATTAAAAAGCCAATCAAAACCTGTTAAAACTCCTTGAAAGACACTGAAGATAGATTTTGAGATCTATAAGGCATGATCACAGCTAGCAATCATGAAAGGAAAGATCTTTTAAAAATAACAAAGAACCAGGAAATAAGGATTCGGTGGCTGAAAAACAATACAATAATAATTGAAGAATTGTAGGCATCGGTGAAGAAACAGGTGTCAACACAAGTAAAATGAAAAGACTGTTTATAGAAGTAATACAAGAAAACTTCCTAAATATGGGGAAAGGACCTGGCATAGATAAGAGAGGCATATAAAACTCCAGCTAGTTACAACCAAAATAAATTGACACCAAGACATATAATAATCAAAATTACAGAAATTCAGCACAACAACAGAATATTAAAAGCTGTTAGAGAGAAGAGACAGACGACCTATAAAGGAAAACCCATTAGAATCATAGCAGACTTGTCAACACAATCATCAAAACAAGAAGAATTTGGAGTTAAGGGTTTCAAATCCTGAAACAAAACAACTTCTAATCCAGATTGATGTACCCTGTAAAACTGTCTTTCAAAATTGATGGAGGGGGTCATGGATTTAGCTCAGTGGCATCAGCACCTTTCTGGCAAGCATGAGGTTGTGGATTCAACCTTAAGTACAAAAAAATACTTCCATGATAAAGAACAGTGAAGGAATTCATGATTATGAAACCAACCCTACAGAGGGTGCTAAAGGATATTCTAGATAGAAATAAAGATGATTCTGGTTCCAGGAAGAACAACAGAGGAGGATCACCAAACAGAACAGGCAATATAACGCAGGGGAAAAGTGGAGGGACAACAGCAGGAGGATAGCATGGCGTAGATAAATCAATGCATACTGGTTGTAACCATTAATGTGGATGGCCTCAATTCACTAGTAAAAAGGAGAGTGAGTCAAGAAACAAGATCCATCAATATGCTGTATACAAGAAAAACATTTAACTTGAAAAGAAATCCATAGACTGAAAATCAAAGGAGAGAAAACACTTGTTCTATGTGATAGGAGAACAGAAAAAAGTAAGAGTAACTTGCCCATGAGCCACAGAATGAATAAGAAATGTTATTTTCATACAGTGGAAAGCTCCCTAGGTATAACATAGGATAATCTCGAGGCTCTTGTAGGTAAATGGTGCAACTGGAGATCATACTTATTGGTGAAATGATTTGGATTGATACCGGTGAACACTGAGTTATCTCCCTAGCATAAAAACTGAAGGAGTAAGTGGGATGCAAAAAAAGCACAATAGATATTATGAAAGTGACAGGGGAGGAAAGGCTTAGGAGGGGAAGGTGCTAACCATTATTAATTCCTTATTGTAGTATATTGACCTCTTGTATCATTTGCATAACTTTCTTAGGTCTGGTTTTGTTCTATTTTGTTTTATTACATTTCACTGTGTATGATGGCATGGGCAACTATGTTGAACATAACGACATGTATTATAGCAACCATTGTTGATTTCCTATTAATTTTGTTTTGAAGTCCTGTAATGCTTTCATTCTTTTGTTTTGATTGGTTTTAGTCTGTTCTCTATTGTTTGATTTCATAATGTGTGACAGTATGGACAGCTATTTTGAAGAAAACAAGAGGCCTTGTGGTAGCCATTGTTGATTTCCTATTGTCTTGCTCTGAAGTTCCATAATGCTTTCATTCTTTTGTTTTGATTGGTTTTGTTCTATTATGTTTGTTTTGCTTTATTTTATTGTTTGTGATGGTATGAAGAGCTATTTTGTAGAAAAAGAGAGACATTTTGATTTCCTGTAGTCTTGTTTTGAAGTCCTGTGTTGCTTGCATTGTTCTATTCTGAATTGCTTGTTCTGTTTTTCTTTGTTTTGTTTTATCCTCTTTAAAATAAAAAAAATCAAATAAATAAAAAAGTGTGTGCATGGAAGTTTATTATACAACAAATGACTTTCATTTTAGAGAAATATTATTGGTAGATAAAGAACTACCATTTGATGTTGATTATATTCAGTGGATAGAACTTATCCTGTTATATCATACTGTTTTTTTTAATGTCTTAAGAAGAAAGATTCGGCAGTTCTGATACTTCGTCCCTTATACTTCCTTTTATATACATCCATAGATGCAGCCAAGGAGTGGTAAATATTTTTGAAATGAAGAAAACATCCTGCAAAGCTTTTAGGTTGATTTACTTCTTATATAGAAATACAGTAGATTTTGTAGGGCTTATACCTACCATCCTTTTTTACATTAAAAGAAAAATTCCCTTTCCTGTGTCCCTAATGAAGTCAAACTCGCAGTGTTCAGAGTGCCACGCACCACAACTCTGCTTTGACTACATATGGATGGAAGGGACTGAGCAGAAGGTAACGCTACCGTGCAAATTCTTTTGTATTCACTTTTCTTCCCAGAGAGGTGTGAAACCATGTTTGGTAGAACAGGATTTTTAGGCTTTACACCAATGGCTTGTAATGTTTAGCTTCAGAAATGCCCTGGGAAGAGCGTCTCTGGCTCCACATGGTTGATGTGCCTCAGTCACCTGGGCACTCTGCCAGAGTGAGTTTAGATTAAATGAACAGGGCACCATCCCCACCTGGGTGCAGAAAAACATCAAACATATGTGCAGTCAGTGAAGCATGTTACTAAGAAAAAAAGCAGCATCTGAAGATGGAAGCAAGTGATAACCACAGAATTAAACAAGTACAGGGGAAATTTCTGATACCGTGTAAATTACATTTCTGTTTATACATCTATCCCTCAATACATTATATTTCTATGATATGTAATTATGTGTGTGTATAGATATAATCAGTATCTATATATCCCCGAAAAGCTATATATGTTTAGCAGACAAAAAAGAAGAAAGATTTCTTTTCTCTTATGGACAAGGAAATTGGCCCAGGTATACATATTCATCTTTAATATGAGTGGAAGATCTTAATATATTTTTGGGAAAAAGCATATCTTCTTTCCCTCAAAAAGAAGTGTTTTATCAGGTATATATTTGTATCAGAGAAAATGAGTCAAATTTCCACTTAAAATTCAGTGTATGTGGTAGGGATTACAGATTTGATTGGCAACAAAATTTCCTACAAATTATAAATCTCAATGAATTTGGCATATTTTGGGTCATTTTAAACACCTCTCTCTCTTTCTCTCTCTTTTAGTTTTTAAAAGAAAACAGACTCTTCAGTCATAAATGACTAAATCATTTTTCATCTAACCTTACCATTTGGACAATTTCTCTGTTACGTATTTATTGTTATAAGGTCTTATAAGGCCTTATAATGTCAAATTCCCTGGTACAGTCTAAAGCTTCAGAAAAAGAATTTCTGTGATAAGTGCCTATTGTGTAAAACTATTTCTACTTTTACTGACAGTTCATGTGTGATTACCGACAATTTTGGCAATGGACACAGTGATGAAGAAACAGTATTACTTTGGCTATGTCAGCACAGGACTAAGCACACAGTAAGTGTTTATATAAAGTCAAACAGGAGATTTTTTTATAAGAAAATCCATTTCCTCAAGAACAGGTAAAGAGAAATAAATGTACATTAACCACATACTTTTTTGTGCATTATTGTATAGACTGACAGAAAATATTTTCTGTGAATTTAGGAAAGGTGTAATTTTTATTGCCTTATAAGTAAAAATGTTGTCCCAGAGGGTCTTTCAATAATTCCAGTACAAATACATTTGTATTTTTTTATTACTACAGGTTTCCAGTATCTAATCAACACAGTCATCCCGGGATGTTTGTACGTGTACATAACACATCTGAATTCTTTTGGTAATTTCCTTTCCTTTCCTCTCTCTCCAACCTTCTTTTCCCTGCAAGTTTGCAAAATCCCTATTTCTAGTTTTTTTTTTTCATTCTTTAAATCCCCTTTCCCCTTCTCTCCCCTCCCACTCGTTGTTCCCCTTCCCATTTGAATAAACTTTCCTATGTCTAGCTTCTATTTTGCTCATCATTCATACTTTGAGTTTCTCAAACAAGAGAAACAATGTGACATTTAAACTTGCCTGTTTGATTTATTTCACTTAAGACTATGGTCTTGAAGTAAATTTATTTACATGAAAATATCTTACATTTCTCTTTCTTTACAGCAGAGTAGTATTCCATTGTATATAAATACCACATTTTCTTTATGCATTAATCCATTAATGAGCAAGTGGGCTATTTCCAAGATTTCACTGCTATATATTGTGCTGTTATAAATATGGTTAAGTGGGCATCCCTTTTTGTTAACTTTGACTGTTTTCAGGAGATATCCAAAAGGAGACTAACTGGGCCACATGGAATTTCTAGTTTTAATTTTTTGAGGAACATCTATACAGATTTCTATAGTGGTTGCACCAATTTGCATTTTCACCAATTAACTTTTCACATACTGTTTTTATATACAAAATTATTGGGGTAAATCTAAACATGTCTCATGTGTTAAAAACCAACAAAATTGTATTCTAATTTGGAGGGCCAACTTAGTTTGCCTAATAGGAGGAGGAATTAAATAACAATAGAGACAAGGGATCAATTTGTTGCAAAATTCTGGTGACAGTTGATCATGAATTTGACCAATTTCAATAGATTAGAATTCATATATGTACTTACATATATCTAAGTAATTTCTTAGTAAGTTTTCATAAGCACTTTCGCACTGTCAGTTACAGCACCCTGATAGTGTAAGAATTATTGCACTAAATTTACAGATGAAGAAACTAAGACTTGAACCTCAAAATGGCTCTGAGGTTCAGTCTTTTTCTCAAAGCACACACCTGTGGAACATTGAGAAATGGCATTGGAAAACAAAACTGTGCACAATTTGCAACCAGTGATTTTTCCTTTGGGTCACCCTCGTTTATTCAGGCATTGTCTTGTTATCCTCATCTGTCATCACAACCAGTTTCTGTATCCTTTTTATTCTAGGGCTCACAAAGGTCACTAGGAAGCATGTTTATAATTTCATGTTCCTAACATTTCCTTAGTTAAGTTTTCCTAATGAATATGTTGGGAAAAATGTTTCTCTGCTGGACAAAGTTGTCAAAAATACATATAATCCAGTTTCTTCCCACACATTGGTTAAAATAATGGCAGTTAAATGCTAAACCTATTCTGGCATTTTCTCTGTACCATCACAGTTTTTACTTGGTTTTTCTTAGTGTCTTCATTTCTCAAGGTCTCTTCAGCTCAATGGAAAGAATAGAAACTTAGAGGTCATTAATTTCTCTTCATTAGAGCTCTTGTCTAAGATCTTTAAATAAATAATTTAAAACTTGAGCCAACTGTTTAGAAGTTGTTTCTAATCACATGGCTCAACTTTTGCCTTAATAAGAAACTTGTACACTGACTGTTCTTTGAAATCCGTAAAAGAGCTTATGGGAGACTTAATGTTTTTTTTATCTTAGGCCAAAAGTGATTCTAACTATTTACAAGTGCAGACGGGAATAGATAAGTGCTGTACCTTCAGTTCACATATTGTATCTTATAAGTAATATTCATTTATTATTTTGTCTGATAATTATCGAACATCAAGCAGCATGGTAGTAGAGATACAATAGGAGACATGATCCACCTTTTTGCATGGTACATATTTGAATTATTATTTGTAAACCCCACTAGAATTCAAGCCTTATAAGACCTGGTCTTTTGTGTTGTTTATTGCTATCTCTTGCTACTAGGATAATTCTTGGGATATAGTTGTTTAATAAATATCTGTTGACTGGGTGAGTAATATAAGCCAGTAATAATAGGGATGTATTAGAGGAAATGATCAAAACTAAATGTTAATGAAATAGATGAGATAATTTTCAAATTGTGATTCTTACTATTAAAAAAATAACTCTTAAGTGACCAAGAGAATGGAGACAAGAGATTCTTCAGATAACACGATCAGAGGAGTCTCCAAAGGGATGATTCTTCCTTTCTTGAAAACCGAAGATCTCAAGAAAAAGGAGGCAGGAATGATCCACAGAAAGAGGAGAGGGGAGACTGCTATAGCCTGACCCAACACACAGGAAGCCCGAGGAGAGAGCCTGACCTGCTCATGGACTTGACGGGCATGGGTTGGCGAGAGAGAATAAAGGACACAGAGGCACCTTACAGGGCCAGTTATTCAAGGACCTCACCTTGTAGCCTAGGGTAAAGGAGAGGATGCTGTCTGAGGTGGTAGGATGCCATTCACTATTGCTGGTTGTCAACCTGTTACATGTTCATTTTTGCTTACTGACAAAATCCTGGTTTTGTTGAGGGCAGAGGTGTTACTAAAAAAAATGAACCAATAGGCAAGATTCATTGTAATCCTCAGGCTTTCTAGATGCAGGAGAGCCCTGTGGTGTCTATCTAATGACACACAAGTGGAAAATGTTTTAGTGGTGCTCAGAGAACTTTTGTTTTCAGGTAAAAGGTGCAACTATGACTATTCTGTCCTACCCTGAGAACTTGTGATGCTACAAACTAAAGCCATCCACCCTCTTTTGATGAGGGGAAATGGAATAAACAATTGCAGAGGAATCTTTAGCTGCTGAACCATGTGAGAGGCTTCAACATTATGAAAGATATGATATAAGAGAAACGAATCTTATATTTAAAGCAACTGGTAGTCAGATTTTGGCTTGCTTATTGCTCTGTGCATTTTGGATGGTTACAGTGACATCTAGGCAAAAGCTGCCAGTTCAAAGGACTGCACTGAACATGAATTAAAGAGGGAAGGATATTTGACAGATCAATGTCTTGTAAAGACAGGAAGAGATTAAATTAAACAATAGGAATTATTTTTTTTATTTGCAGAAAAAATGGATTCAAAGGATGAGGAACAGACATGCCAGGCTCTTTGGATTTCTCTGCTTCAGCTTCATCGCTGTAGAATGAAAGGGCTTGGACAGAATGACCTCCGTGGTTCCATTTAGTTCTGCAGGTCTGTGTTTATAATAACAGCCCTATTTCTTCTGTGAGTCTGGATGTTATATAAATGTAGGGACATTGATTCCTGGATGAGAAGAGAAGAGTGTATGTGTCCTCAGTTTTCTTCCTCCAATCAATGAAGTTGAGGAGAGGAGCACCGGGAGCCAGCGAGGGTCAGACTGAAATTGTACAGCATGAATTATTCATGGCTTAGGGCTTCAGTGCTTTGGGTTTCCTCCAAAAGTGCTCTTCCAGAGGATCAGAAGTAGATGGTGAACTGCACAGGGGACTCTGACAACCTTGGCAGAAAAAGAATTAAAGTGCAAGGTAGAGATGTATGTCTATGGCAAATAAGAATAACAAGTATTGGCATTTTTGAGTAGTGTCTACAGATTTACAAAAAACTGATATAGTCTTCTGTGAACTTCTAGCATTACTTTTCCTTTATAATCATTTTTCTTTGATTTAGTGGCATTTGCACTTGGATATAAACTTCTGCTGGTTAGGTGTTGTAAATATTGTCTCCTCCTCTACATTTATTTTTATAGCTTTCAGTGGGCATAACGTTAATTATTAACATAATTTGGTTTATGAAAGAAACTATTTTATTATATTTAGTGCTTGTGATTCTAAGAACTTGCCTGTTTGTTTTTAATGATAATATGTTATCATCTAGATTATAGTTTTATCATTTTACAATAAACACATGTCAGTAATATACAAAATATACAAATGTGAATTATATATAAAATATAAATATATAAAAAGTACACAAATATGAATTCTATACAAACTAATTGCATATATTTATATGTCTATTTTCATGTATGTATGTACCCATCTATCTGCTTATTTGTCTGTATTTTTATAATTGACCTGAAATTCATTACTATAGATGGAAATAAACCCTTTTGAAGTTTGCTAAGATTTTACTTTGTTTCTCTCCTTAACAGAAATGGATGCTATAATTTATGAAATACTTTTTTGTGCAGCACTTTCATGGCTATATTTTTGTTCTTTATGCTCATAAAGAGTTTTTAGAACTAAAAGCACCCTGTACTCCTGAAATAAATGCAATTATAATCTTATCTTTTATTTTTATATGGTTGGACTTGTTTTGCCAGTATTTTGCTTAATATTTCCATTTATGTCATTGGCACATTATGTTGCATCTTTAAAGAAGTTGGAAAGTGTTCTCTCCTTTGTTCTTGTAGGAAGCATTTGTGAGGGAATTGAATTTCTTCTTCCTACACACAGGTAGAATTCACTTTGGCCTAGAGTTTTCTTTATGGAAGTTTTATAATTATAGATCCAGGACGTTTAATAGACACTCTCTTGTTCAGTTATTTATTCATTCTTTGTGCTAGTCTTTGTAAACTATATTTTAAAAACAGTTTAGCCATTTTATTTAAATTTTTGAATTTACTTGTACATATGTTACATAGTATCTTGTTCTTAATGCTGAGAAATGTAATGATGTTATATAACGGTTTAAAAAATATCTAATTTTTTCTTTCCTGTGGTGTTGAGAAGGGAACCTGGGGTCTCATACACACTGGTCAACCACTGTACCACTCAGCTGTACCTGCAGTGCTAGAGGCCAAAGTTTGTCAATTTTTAAAAGTTTTCCCAACAATTTATAAATCTGAAAATTTTGTCAAAGTGGCAACTGTTTCTTTTTAAATTAATTAATCAAATTTTCCAGTGAAGACATTTAGGCCTAGAATTTTACTGAAGAAATTATTCTCTAAACTGAAATGAGATGTGAAATATGTACAGTTTCCTTTACAGTTTCCACTTGTTGAATGTTCTTGACAATTAAGTTACTTTCTTACAATGACTTGCAAATTTTGAATGTTTAGATCACTATTTTGTGCTTCTCTTAAATG